GTCAGTTCATTGCCACTGGAACAACTAGGATCTGTCTTCGACATCGTCTGTATTTTATTAAGTGCCTGTTTTATCTCTCTGACTTCCAATTTGCCCTAGTTTATCTCCTTTTAGTTATAATTTATTGGCCTGACCAGTCCTAATATGTATGAAGCACTTAACATAAGGCATTTAAATTGACATCCAGTAAATTTCCAGCTGATCTTTCTAGCATCATCCCTGGCCTCTGCTTTCATACTTCTATGCCTTGCTCATGACACTTCTTCGCTTGGCGCGTCTTTCCCTCCCTTTTCTCTCCAGTATTGGTGGTTTGTTCACATGTCCTCTCATCTGCAAAGTCTGTCTTCTCCAAAGTTATTGTGTCTTCTAGCCTTCCAAATTATTATATACCTCCCAATTGCGAAAGCACTTATCACAGCCAGCCTTGAAGAACAGTTGCAGGCATTCATTTCTCCAATACATGGTGAGGGTTTTTTTGATGTCAAAGACTGTGCTTCCTTTATATTGTAATCCCACAGCAATTAGAACCTTAGTGAATAATGACTGGAATTGAATCGTAGCCTAAAAGGGAGGACAGAAGGAAGAAAGTGGAGCTGGATCAGAAAAATGAGAACTTGTGGCATTGATAAGACATGGAGTGAAAATCAAAGTTTTTTTGCTTTTCAATGTGGATTATCTGATATTTCTAATTTTTTTTTTTACTTGAAATAAGCCTAATCATCTATGTCGGAGTAGCTACCATGAACTACATCAAATGAGACTTGTGTAGCTTCTGTGAGAAGACAGTCTTAAAGATCTCTCTCATCTGCACTATTTCTTTAAACATTCATTTAATTTATTTGTTCCTGTAAATATCCTTGGAAGGTGGGATGGGAATTTTAAAGGTAAAGGGCTAGGGGACATAGACAAAGTCACACAGCAATTAAACACCAAGTCACATGCATGATCATGTCTCATTTGTGGCCCTGACATCATAGCCTCTGCTCTGCCCTGATCATGGCCACTGGGCAGGGAAACTCCCGATCATGACCAGGACATGTCCTTGGGAGAGGATTAATTCAGGATATTCTTAAAAGAGCACATCTGCGATTCTGTACTCGTCATCATTATCTGTCCACATCCATCCCTCTCTCATCTTAACGTGACCGCATTTTCTAGATTCTTTTTCTTTCTCTCTCTCTTTTTTTTTTTTCAATTATACTTTAAGTTCTAGGGTACGTGTGCACAACGTGCAGGTTTGTTACATATGTATACTTGTGCCATGTTGGTGTGCTGCACCCATTAACTCGTCATTTACATTAGGTATATCTCCTAATTAGGTATATCTCCATTTACATTAGCTATCCCTCTCCCCTCCCCCCTCCCCCCTCCCCCCCTTCCCCCTCCCCCCTCCCCCCTCCCCCTCCCCCCTTCCCCCTCCCCCTCCCCACAATAGGACCCAGTGTGTGATGCTCCCCTATTTTCTAGATTCTTATCACTTGTGCCCAATTCTTGCAATAAATCAGCTTTGCTTTCTCCTTTCAAGTCTAATTCTAATTTTTTTTCCTAAACCCAGGGTTTCTGTACACATTTTAAATTGAGGGATTGCTTCTTGCACATAGTAGCTATTCAGTTATCAAGTTTTTAAATAAAGTGATCTGGGACTTTTATTAGCCATTGAATGATTTTTCCATTTTCATGGAAAGCTTTGCCCCTGTTTTCCCTATTTTCCTTGTGGCTCATTTATGAAGGCAGTTTCTGCAAGCTGGTATAGATTGCAAGACGCTACCCATCACTCAAGTTCCTGCTGTTCCATGGTAATTTAGTCAATATGCTTTAATGACCCTGTGAAGGATATATTTTTAATAAAATTGCCCTCAATATTTAGCTGCTTCTGTTTTCCATGGGGCCAGCATGCTCAGAATGTTAATCTAAACTTGTTGCCCTCTCATTATGCAATGGAAGTCAGATGATTTCAATTTGTTATTGCCCTAAATTTTCTACCCCTAGTCCGTGTTTTAATCTAGCGAATTAACACATTGGGAGCATCAACAGTTTTGATAAGTCATTTTCATCTGCTGCATCATCCTGGCTAGACACTCTGCCCTTACTATATCTTGTGAGTCCCAGGAGGGCGTGGATACCATCAGCCCTGTAATTAAAATCTGCTGTGCTTTTCACGCAACAAACTGCATGAGCTTAAGGAACTGGCTCCATTAATGTGCTTTACCTTCCTTTCATTATTTCCTGTTTTCAGTTTCCCTCCCCCTCCCCCCGCATATAGCTCAGTGAGTCTTTGACTATTGCTGGCCAGACATTAGGTGTGGAAAGCCTTCCTTCCAACATCCTGTGAACATGGTCAGCATTGGCTGGGGGCCTGGGTGCAGGTATCCTCAGCTTCTGTGGACTGTTGCAGGGAGGCCTCCTTCTGCATATGCTGGGTTTCCCTGAAACACAGGAAGTCAAGCTTCCTGCATTCCCCTAAGAATCTTTATTACCGATACTGCTAACTCAACACCCTCACGAAGACCTCACCATGGGAACTGCTCCTGCTTCCAGCCACTGCTGCCGAAAAGCAGCTCTTGCTCACAGAAAACTGGGTCAAGTTTTGAACGCTTCTTCCTAAACCTACCTTTGTGTACCTTGTATGAACGCATAGAGCCGCAGAAGGCAGAAAGTCAATCGTCAGTCCTCTAAGCAATGTTAATAATTAACCAGTGCGGACAAATGTTTGCCATCATTATTTTCATATTGTAAAGTGATACCAGTCTTTATTGTCAATACTTAAAAAATCAAGAGCCCAGCTGGACCAAGTGGCCTCTGCTGGCCACCACCACCTCAGACTCCCCACCGCCCACCATGAAACATGGCACTAAAGATAAAAAACCTCAAAGTAAGAAAGCATCATGTGACAGTATCCTGAGGGCCTTTCAGAGGCTCCACGGATAGTATAGTCTAATGAGAAGATTGCAAATAAGCAAACAAGTCATTTGTGAAACTGATGTCTGCTCTGAAGTAAATGAAACAAGGAGATGTGACAGCAAGTACTTTAGAGAGGGGCATCTGGGAACGTCTCTCTGAGGGGGCGACATCTAAGTTGAGACTGGAAAGAAGCCCATCAAGCCGCGTGGTAAAACAAGTAGAGGAGGAGCCAAGAACAGGGCTTTTCAGCCATGGGACCACCACTATGTACTTATAGGGGCCTGGAAGACGTAGCCTCCCTCCAAGCCCAGGGTAGGTCCTGGTGACCCTGCTGTCCTCAGCTTCATCACTCCCTGCCTACCAAATCCCAACTCCCAAAGATTGTCATGAAACAAAAGAAAGCCATTTCCCTTGAGGCCAAGGGGCAGTTGCTCCCCAGTCCCTTTTTCTTAATCGCCTTGGCACTGAGACGATTTTTTTTTTTTTTTTTTTTTGAGATGGAGTCTCACTCTGTCGCCCAGGCTGGAGTGCAACAGTGTGATCTCGGCTCACTGCAACATCTGCCTCCCGGGTTCAAGTGATTCTCAGGCCTCAGTCTCCCAAACAGCTGGAATTACAGGTGCCCACCACCACGCCCGGCTAATCTTTGTGTGTGTGTGTGTGTGTATTTTTAGTAGAGATGGGGTTTTGCCATGTTGCTCAGGCTGGTCTTGAACTCCTGACCTCAAGTGATCCGCCCACCTCAGTTTTGCAAAGTGCTGGGATTACAGGTGTGAGCCACTGTGCCCAGGTGACTGAGCCGATTTTTATCTGGTGTTGATTCTTGGATTAAGTCCCTTTAAGAATCAAAAGACTGAGGAGCACCCCTGCAATTAATACCCACCCTTGTGACTAAATGTGGCCAAAAAAAAAAAAAAATCTTTCCCTCCCCCTTTAATTGCATACACACTTGCTTTCTGTGAAGGAGCAACTGTTCCTAGGACTGGCCTAGCTGACAGCTAAGACTGAGAGATGGGCAGAGATTTCCTGTCACATCTGACAATTGCAGTTTCCTGTATTAGGTAAATTTGCTAGGCTTCCATGCTCCTTCATGAATTGAACAGATGAGAAAAATGTTCAGAAGATTGCCCCTGGCAGGCCAAGCTGCAGGCAGGGGATGGCTGTGGGGTTTGAGATAAAGGAGCAGACATCAGCACTCTTGTGTCTGTCTTCTACAGCAAGAAAAGTCAGAGCTAAGTGAAGAGGGAGAGAGTAGCCTCTTACCCACAAATTGAGAAGCAATTCTTAAAATGCCACAGGCTTTTATTGATCTGTTCCCTAAAGGCTCTACAAGTAGAAAGTGAAGTTTTTAGTGGTCCTGAAAGATCTTGCAAATGTCATCGACCCATTGTCTATGTATCTTGGAAAATAAGGGGAGTAAGTAAACCCCATGCAGCATTCTGGAAGAAATTGCAAGAGGGAAGAGGACAATGCCATAAAAGAATTTCTAATTCCATGTGGATTTGGGAAGGGGATAGGAATAGAAAATGGCACTGACCTTTGAGTCCCAGAAGAGGTGGAGATGGCTTTGCCTAGTGAGTGGGCACATGGAGGCAGATTACTTGCGTTCAACAACTTGCTACCTGTGTGACCTTAGGTAACATATTTAATCATGGAATTTTGGTTTTCTCACCAGTAAAACGGGGGCAATAATAATAATAACACTTGTTTAGAAGATCAACCTAGATAATTCATGTGAAGTGTCTAGCATTAAGCCTGGCATTTTTAAAATGACTGCTACTAAACAACTCTTTTGTGGTTTTTGCTGTTACTGGACACACCTCCTGGAGCTGTTAAAAGACGCTGTTTCTGGCCAGTCTTGCAAGTCCTTTCCACAGGGAGAGATTAGCAGCCTTTATTTTTTAAAGGATGGTCTCTACTTTATTAGGCAATGTGCGGCCACTAATGAGAAAGCAGTAGGTGGGATATAAAGAAACATTAGATAAAGCAAATAGCAAAGGAATCATAAAAACAGGACTACACAAATGGCATATGAAACAACAGTGAATTTTCATACTGTTAACCCCTTGTCTCTTCTTTCATCTCTCACCTTGTTAAAGGTTTTACTGTGCATCACCTACACACCGACATTTGATCTGAATGGGAGTGCCGTACTGAAGATCGCGGAGGTGAGTACTGCTTGTGTCTGTGCCTCCTGTTCACAGCTGCTTTATCTCTAACTGGGATAAATATTGGGGTGGAACTAAGCCCCAGCACTGGAGTGAACCCTTCTCTGATTACTACCAGGGGAATTTCTGCTAAGGAATTGATCTGTGGGAAGCATGCTGTGTGGTGCGCCATTCTTAGTTGTAGTGCCCTGTGTCTCAGAGCCCTGCATGCTTACGTTTGCTTCACTTGAGGCTTTAACCATGTAAATAACAGTACTGGTTCCCCTTACCCTGCTCTACCCAGGCATATTGCTTTCTTGGTCTAATTTGCCTACGATTAATTGAAAAAGCATTTGATTTAAAAAACTAGTTTTTAAGAAACCACATAGGAGATTTAGAGAGATGTTTATAGATTAAATCCCCTCCGCATCTTCAAAACCCTGAAGAATGCCTTTTGTAATGATTATTGAAAAGCCTTCTCTTTTCAATCTGTATTGCAGCCCGGAGTAATGTGTGCCTTCCAGCACTCCCAAAAATATGTCCAACAGAAAACTTGGCTTCTTGAATGCCTGGCATATGCCTTTGGCTTTTGGAAACATTATCATTTCAAAGCTGAACTTTAATATGCTTAGAATAATTTCCCTTCCATTTCTTGAAAAGAATATCTACAGGATTTGTATGTTCTGATAAGAGTATACATTCAAACCACAAAGAGGAATGATTTTCTGTGTTCTCAAATGATGGAGAAAAAGGCTAATTATCAGCACTCATGGAGAGTACTTATATTAGCAGATACATGTGTTTTTTATGGTGGTATTATGTGGTATTAAAGAGTGAAAATTAAGAGAAAATTATTTTTGAGCATGTAGAAAATTTTTATGTGACTGTCAGAAAGCAGCAGCCAATCAGCTGACCTCTCATTACAATACAAGTCACTTTAAAAATATGTATTAATATAGATGGAAAGAATACTTTCCTTTACACATTTATATGGATACTCTGTGTTTGTTTTATCGGTATTTGTTTTTAATTGAATTTTAAGAGAGCCCTGTGAGCTCTTTCATTATTTGCAGGTTCACTTTCCAAAAGACAGTGTTGTTTCTGAAAGTAGCAAGAAGCAGGATTGGTGTGTAAGAGGCTTGTTAGCCCTTTGCCATATGGAGGAAGAGAGGGGAAGTGTCAAGCCACTGCCCCTGCTGATGGAACTAGGGGGAAGGAGAGACAAGGAGCAGAGGGTCTTGAGGAAGAGAGGGCTGCCAGGGATTGAGGTTGTTGATACTAACAACCTCACAAGAACCAGTTTTTGAATGAGAGTCAGAATGAGTGAAAATGTAATTCCTGAATAATAGGCATATACCACCAAGTTTGGCACGAGTGAAGGGTGTTCACTGAGAGTATCTGGAAGCCAAAATAAAAAGACACAGCAGGCCTGTCCAGATAGGATGCAACATGGAAACACTGTGGCCCCTTCCAAAACCAGGAAAGGAAAAACAACAACAACAGATCGTAGCCAAAGAACAATATAATGACAAAGGCATTTGAGCTTGGTGGGAGAGAAAAATGGGCTCCGAAGTCGTACTGCTTAGATGTGAACCCGGCTCTACTCTCCCCAATGGTGTTGCCTCGGATGCCTGTCCCGGCCTCTTGTTTGCTCTCTGTAGATGAAATGATAAGTGATACTGAGCTCATAGTGTAGTTGTGCTAATTAGAGAATAAAAATACAATCCATATAAAAAGCTTTTAGTGCAAGTCCAGCCGCATGGTAAATGTGAAATGTTTGCCATTGTCATGTTTGAAATAGGGAAGCAATTTATAAAAGCATCTTAAACCATTTAAATCTCCTGTGGAAATGTTAAGAAGGAATCTAGATATTCTCTTCCTGCTTACTTTTGTGTACATTGACTATTATTCATGAATAGTGTTTACCCTGAAACCTGCTGATCAGGAAGTGGGATGTGTACTTAAGTATGAAAAATGAGGCTATTTCCCCAAGGTTCAGAAGCTATAAAAGGACCATTAAGCTCTCAAAATGTAAATAAGAGGGCAGCCTTCATTTGTGTATCTAAATTTAACTTGCTTAATTAAACTGCAATAATGAAAGGTTTTTACAACAGCATCCTCTGTGACAGAGGATGCATAAGAAAGATTACCAAATATAAAAATGGACAATTATGAAATATCCAACAAGTGCTTTCTGTTCAATTTTATGAAATCGTTATTAAAACTCCATATGGATGCATAGCCCTTCTCTTCATTTATTGAAAGCTGAGCCCAAGATTTCTGCTAATATTATGCCCGGAGTAGCAGATATGTTGAGTTTTCCAAGGAAAGTTACCTTCATATAGGAAAAAGCTGTAAGAGCAGAAACTGCCAAGGTCTTGGAGTAAAAGAAAAGGTGGGGCTGGGCGTAGTGGCTCACGCCTGTAATCCCAGCACTTTGGGAGGCCGAGGCGGGCAGATCACCTGAGGTTGGGAGTTCGAGACCAGCCTAACCAACATGGAGAAACCCCATCTCTACTAAAAATACAAATTAGCCAGACGTGGTGGCACATGTCTGTAATCCCAGCTACTTGGGAGGCTGAGGCAGGAGAATTGGTTAAACCTGGGAGGTGGAGGCTGCGGTGAGCCTGTTCCATTGGAGAGATTCTTATACCTGCTAAAGGCTTCTCTGTGGGATTTCTCAAAAGCAGAAAACCTAGTTCATAAATGTGTGTTTGCTGGTTTGATCTTATTGACTCATGGAAACTTCCAGTCTTTGATTCTGTATCATGCTGTCAGGGTCAGCAAAATCTGTCTCAAAGGCCATTGTTTTTTCCTCTAAGATTCATACTTTCAGGGTATGAAAAACACCTTTTTTATTGTTATTCCTTCCATCCACCCAGCCCTCCATTCTAATATACTGGTTAATTTTTTATTATTATTTTACTTTAAGTTCTAGGGTACATGTGCACAACATGCAGGTTTGTTACATATGTTTACATGTGCCATGTTGGTGTGCTGCACCCATTAACTCGTCATTTACGTTAGGTATATCTCCTAATGCTATCCTTCTCCCCTCCCCCCACCCCACAACAGGCCCCGGTGTGTGATGTTCCCCTTCCTGTGTCCAAGTGTTCTCATTGTTCAATTCCCACCTATGAGTGAGAACATGTGGTGTTTGGTTTTCTGTTCTCGTGATAGTTTGCTGAGAATGATGGTTTCCAACTGCATCCATGTCCTACAAAGGACATGAACTCATCCTTTTTTATGGCTGCATAGTGTTCCATGGTGTATATGTGCCACATTTTCTTAATCCAGTCTGTCACTGATGGACATTTGGGTTGGTTCCAAGTCTTTGCTATTTTGAATAGTGCCACAATAAACATATGTGTGCATGTGTCTTTATGGCAGCATGATTTATAATCCTTTGGGATATACCCAGTAATGGGATGGCTGGGTCAAATGGTATTTCTAGTTCTAGATCCTTGAGGAATCAACATACTGTCTTCCACAATGGTTGAACTAGTTTACAGTCCCATCAACAGTGTAAAAGTGTTCCTTGGACAGTATGGCCATTTTCACGATATTGATTCTTCCTACCCATGAGCATGGTATGTTCTTCCATTTGTTTGTGTCCTCTTTTATTTCACTGAGCAGTAGTTTGTAGTTCTCCTTGAAGAGGTCCTTCACATCCCTTGTAAGTTGGATTCCTAGGTATTTTATTCTCTTTGAAGCAATTGTGAATGGGAGTTCACTCCTGATTTGACTCTCTGTTATTGGTGTAAAAGAATGTTTGTGATTTTTGCACATTGATTTTGTATCCTGAGACTTTGCTGAAGTTGCTTATCAGCTTAAGAAGATTTTTGGGCTGAGACGATGGGGTTTTCTAGATACACAATCATGTCATCTGCAAACAGGGACAATTTGGCTTCCTCTTTTCCTAATTGAATACCTTTATTTCTTTCTCCTGCCTGATTGCCCTAGCCAGAACTTCCAACACTATGTTGAATAGGAGTGGTGAGAGAGGGCATCCCTGTCTTGTGCCAGTTTTCAAAGGGAATGCTTCCAGTTTTTGCCCATTCAGTATGATATTGGCTGTGGGTTTGTCCTAATAGCTCTTATTTTGAGATACGTTCCATCAATACCGAATTTATTGAGAGTTTTTAGCATGAAGGGCTGTTGAATTTTGTTAAAGGCCTTTTTTACATCTATTGAGATAATCATGTGGTTTTTGTCTTTGGTTCTGTTTATATGCTGGATTACGTTTATTGATTTGTGTATGTTGAACCAGCCTTGCATCCCAGGGATGAAGCCCACTTGATCATGGTAGGTAAGCTTTTTGATGTGCTACTGGATTCGGTTTGCCAGTATTTTATTGAGAATTTTTGTATCGATGTTCATCAGGGATATTGGTCTAAAATTCTCTTTTTTTGTGTGTGTTTCTGCCAGGCTTTGGTATCAGGATGATGTTGGCCTCATAAAATGAGTTGGGGAGGATTCCTTCTTTTTCTATTGATTGGAATAGTTTCAGAAGGAACGGTACCAGCTCCTCCTTGTACCTCTGGTAGAAATCAGCTGTGAATCCGTCTGGCCCTGGACTTTTTTTGGTTGGTAGGCTATTAATTATTGCCTCAATTTCAGAGCCTACTATTGGTCTATTCAGGAATTCAGCTTCTTCCTGGTTTAGTCTTGGGAGAGTATATGTGTCCAGGAATTTATCCATTTCTTCTAGATTTTCTAGTTTATTTGCATAGATGTGTTTATAGTATTCTCTGATGGTAGTTTGTATTTCTGTGGGGTCGGTGGTGATATCCCCTTTATCATTTTTTATTACATCTATTTGATTCTCCTCTCTTTTCTTCTTTATTAATCTTGCTAGCGGTCTATCAATTTTGTTGATCTTTTCAAAAAACCAGCTCCTGGATTCATTGATTTTTTTTAAGGGTTTTTTGTCTCTCTGTCTCCTTCAGTTCTGCTCTGATCTTAGTTATTTCTTGCCTTCTGCTAGCTTTTGAATGTGTTTGCTCTTGCTTCTCTAGCTT